CATCATACCATCATGTACCAGGATCTCGAAGAATGTGGAGTAAGTGTTGCTGTTATTTTCTCATGAGTTGTCATTGTTAATTTCTGTATGATGGTTGATTGATAAATAAGGTCTCCAATCCTATAAAACAATTTTCAGACCAGATAGAATAATGAAACTAGTATCAAAATGAAGGAAATTTATTTCTCTTCAAAATTACGAGGGTTGATTGATAAGTAAAGTCTCCAAACCTATAAAACAATTTTGAGACCAGATAGAATAATGAAACTGGTATCAAAATGAAGGAAATTTATTTCTCTTCAAAATTACGAGGGTTGATTGATAAGTAAAGTCTCCAAACCTATAAAACAATTTTGAGACCAGATAGAATAATGAAACTGGTATCAAAATGAAGGAAATTTATTTCTCTTCAAAATTATGAGGATTGATTGGTAAGTAAAGTCTTCAAAATCTCATACTTGTGGCCATCATATAGTGGCAGTGAACAAGCACCAAGCATGTTAAGACTGTGCTTTGTGTATTACTGAATCCATGTTCGAGCATGGTTTTACTATTATACAAGTACCAGTTACATTTTGGTAACTAATTATTTGCCAGTTATTTTGATCTTTATATAATTGATTATATGTAATTAACCATTACCACACTAATTTGTTTCTAGAATTGTTACTCTTGCCACAGGATTTTTTTTTTTTTTTGTTGATGCAAAATTAAAATTGTCATAACTTTCTTTGTATTGTGCATGTAGATTTTAATTTTTGTGCTCTAATAAAAGAATGAATGAGTAATATCTTTATGTAATGCATGCATGTTTTGATGTTGAGAAACAAAATAAAAATGTGAAATAAAAAACATACATTAAAAAAAAATGCAACACAAATGATTCGGCATACTTTAAAATGCAACACAAATGATTTGGCATACTTTAAAATGCAACACAAATGATTTGGCATACTTTAAAATGCAACACAAATGATTTGGCATACTTTAAAATGCAACACAAATGATTTGGCATACTTTAAAATGCAACACAAATGATTTGGCATATTAAAATGCAACACATACTTTAAAATGCAACACAAATGATTTGGCATACTTTTAAAATGCAACACAAATGATTCGGCATACTTTAAAATGCAACACAAATGATTCGGCATACTTTAAAATGCAACACAAATGATTCGGCATACTTTAAAATGCAACACAAATGATTCGGCATACTTTAAAATGCAACACAAATGATTCGGCATACTTTAAAATGCAACACAAATGATTCGGCATACTTTAAAATGCAACACAAATGATTCGGCATACTTTAACTTTTATTACTTCTTGTGGAGTTCTGGGGGTGCAATAAGAAGCAAAATTGCTAAGAAGGATTTCATTTTGTCAAAAAAGTGACGTGTTTACATACGAGAAGACACCAGCATTTGTTTGCTCTTTCTTTCACCTCGCTCATATTTGTCTCATTGATATGTTCTTGTCGACGAATAAAGTTATTTTGATGTTTATAAGTAGACAAATTCACATTCAGAAAGGCTATCAGGTATATTGATGGTCACCAGTAGCTTCCATAAAATTAGTCATGCATGGATGATAGTAGCTGCTAGTTGTCATCATCACTTTCTTCTACATCACTAGCGTGGTATCATCTTCAACCACTTGACCATCATCCACTCAAGTCAGTCATCATCAAAAGAAAAACTGAATAAAGGCTTTGTGGATATTAATGTGGACATTTTCGTTTACAAAAAATTGCAAAAAAATTAACTTGGTTTTTAATCGGTGTTACACCTCGTGTAGAGTCTAGAAGAATTCAAAATGGCATTGGAAAACGGAAGTTTAACCTTGTTCCAAAGCAGTAGTAGGCGATTTCCAGGTTAAAATGCTGGAAATAACAGTTGACAAATGTTTATTTATAGCAACCGTCTCAAGGCGACTGAATGTGCCTAGAGTAGCAAAGGGAGAGAATTCTATGGTGGCAATTTTTGCTTGCAGTGTGGTAAAGGTTAAAACAAATAACCAATTTTGAAGACAAAGTAACTAGAAGTTTGAAGTTCTCACAAATGCCAGACGAGTTGATATAGTAGTTAGGGATTTGGGATATCTTCACTGACCACACCTCTGGTATGCTGGACTGGTTCTCTAGGGAAAGATGAGTGGTGAATGGTATGTTGTAACTAGTGTTGTGTTTACCTGTTGAATTGGATATCTGACAAGACCGTGATAATCCTTTTAGATGAAAATGGATTCAAGTCACAAAACTGTTCTGGTAATCTCAAATAACTATTAATTAATGACAATTACTATACAATTCTCCCTTCCTTGTTTATATTTGTAGCTGGGTGGATGTTAATCTCTCACAAAGATGCCATTCCTTTCTGGCCTTGTACTATGGATATTTAATTGCAATTTCTTTTGTCTCTGTTCTTTCTTTTTAACTCAACTTCATTCTTCTGACTCTGGTAGAAAGTGGCTCCATATCTCTAATGGTCATTACATTTTTTAGTTCCACCAGCTTAGACCTTCATTACTATGATCCACCATACCATGTTTGCTGTGGCGAACCATTCCCATTTCCTTTTATGTATGGCTTAGAGGAACCATATTAGTCCACAATCAGATTTAGACATTCAGTGGAGTCAGAGCTTTGAAGGCATTTTCTAATGGATGAGAACAGGAAGTCTCTATTGATGTGGTTGTATGCTGCTGTGAGGTTAACAGCGGGTATACAGAATTCCTATATGATTTATGCAAGAAAGAATTTTATCAGAGTCTGTCTATATTTCTGAGATGAGGTATTATGTAGAGTATTTACATTAGTCGGACTATTGTCCTCATCTTTGTCGCCATATTTGTCACAACGTTTCGGCCGTTGTACGCTCCGGCCTTAACTGTCCTGGTCATGTTGCAAAGATTAGTGACAACAGAATAACTAAGGTCCTCATGTATAGCCAGCTTGACAGTAGACAAAGGACTTTTGGATGGACGTGGCTCCAGTATAAAGACAATCTAAAGAGCAACCTCTCAGCTATCAATGTACCTCATATTAACTTCAAGCAAGTTGCCTGGGATAGAAATATCAGAATTTGCATCAGAAATTTTGAAATCGGTCATATTGGCTGACTAAGAAGCAAAGAACAATGATAAAAGTGTCAACAAATATTGCTGTTGCTATGTCCTGAGATCCTTGTTGTTGCACAATATGTGGTCTTAATCCTTCTCAGTTTGTCTTAATCCTTCTCAGTTTGTCTTAATCCTTCTCAGTTTGTCTTAATCCTTCTCAGTTTGTCTTAATCCTTCTCAGTTTGTCTTAATCCTTCTCAGTTCGTCTTAATCCTTCTCAGTTCGTCTTAATCCTTCTCAGTTCGTCTTAATCCTTCTCAGTTCTTAATGTTAAATCATTCTTTATTTTACAGCCACATTGTTACAATACAAATGTCATCTGTAAACTGATTAGAAGCTTATCCCTGGGATGTAATGCATTGTATCTAATTATGCTACATTATCCTTTTGGTCTCACAGTTTGGCAATTCTTGAATTATTTGGATAAAAAGTTTTGTTAAAAATTTGTCAACTTCTACATCATCCTAATAAATGCTAATCAGATGCGTTACAGATTGTAGAAATTATCTCTTAATTATTCAGCTACCATATATTTGTGCATAAGCTGACTTGATGTATAGTACAACTGCTGAATATTTTTGCAGGAATTTTAATCCCTCCAGAATAAATTTAACTTTTGTATAGTACAACTGATCACCAAAAGTGCATGAACTTTTAACTTTTTCTTCTTCTTCAAAAAAAGTACCTCTGTCTCATGTGACCCTTATTTTTATTTTTTTTTTTGTTTAAAAGAATGATCATAAAAACTTGCGCTATACAGTATTATTTTGTCATCTTTCAGCCTCTCAAATCTCTGTTCACAATGCCACAGAACAAACCAGTATTCCTGATTTACCATGTAAGTGTTTTTTTTTTTTTTCTTCTTCTCTAAAAAAATGACAATGGTTTTCATGTAAAATGAGTTCAAGCCTTTCCCCAGGAATTTAAAATTAAAAAAAAAAAAAAAAAAAACTTATTTCAAGTAATGGACACTGGCATAAAAAATGATTCTATTTAACTTTTTTGCAGTTTAAACTTTTTAACCAGATTTATTATGATATCAAAACTTTCATTGTCAGAATATTGAACTATGTTTTATGCTATAACAAGTGTATTTGTGCCATCCGAAATAATGGCAATTGGTAGAAAGTTTCAGTGAGATACAATGAAACAAAACTCTTGAAACAATGTATTAAGACTCAATAAAGCATAGATGAAAAATTCACAATTAAAATTGAGTTCAATGAACCGCTTAATTAATTTGTTTCCTTTATATGTTTTAGATGTTCATTGATTTAATCTTGTTATCATATAAATCATTTTTTTCTTTATCTTTTTATGTTAAAAAATTTGTGTTTAACCTTTAGCACGCGGTAGGCGAAAATTATCGCTGTAGAGTTCTCTCCCTTGACACACTGTAGGTACATTCTGTTAGCTCAAGAGGGTTGCTGTAAATAAACGCGTATCATGTTCTGTCTATATGTCAGAGATGAGGTATTATGTACACTATTTACATTATTCGGACTATTGTCCTCATCTTTTTCGCCATATTTATTACAACGTTTGACATTTCAGTATCTGTCTATTTCTGAGATGAGTTATGTATTATGTATATTTACATTATTCGGACTATTGTCCTCATCTTTTTTTACATTTATTGGGACTGTCTATTTCTGTCCTCATCTTTGGGACTACTGCCATTTTATCACAATGTTTCAGCCTTCTTCAGGTGGTTGGAATGTCGAACTGAACCCTTTATTTTGTTCACTGGGGTAGACTTCTAGTTCCATGTGCGATGTCTAATGGATGTTGGTTATCAGTTCTCACCTGTTAATCCCCCTCTCCAAGTTCTCCACTGCCTTAACCGAGTATTGAACTCACACTGTTTGGGTCCTATCACTGGATCTAACTAATGCCTTTATCCACTGTGCCATGTGTTATGTGTCCTTGAGGATATCTGTGTGTGAATTTCTGGGTATTATAAACCTAATGTCTTCAACAATCATTTTTTACCACTTCTCATATTGGTAAAAAATGGTTGCTTAAGACAATAGTATTTATAATACTCAGATGTCCTCAAGGACATATGGCACAGTGGATAAAGGCGTTAGTTAGATCCAGTGACAGAACCCAAAGAGTGTGAGTTCAATACCTGGTTAAGGCGGCAGAGAACTTGGAGAGGGGGATTAACAGAAGATAACTGATAACTGACATCCATTAGACATGGCATGTGGACTAGAACAGTTGCCATCCAAGGCTATAGAACCTAGTCTGTCCTTCTATTTACCCATAGCTGGGGGGAGAAGAAGAGGATTCATACCTTCTCCAAGGATATTAGCACGTAAGTGAATGTAATAGATTCAAATGGAATTTTGAACTCGTCTCTCCAATTCCAGAGAATGCAGATAAATATTTGTACAAGTCAGGAGTGGCTAAGTTCTGGCTTGTGAGCCACATGCAGTTCTTTGACCTTCAACATGCAGCCCATGGAAATGTTAACTGAGTTCCTTTTTTTCATCACAGTAAATATGAAAGGTTAAAAAAAAACAAAAAAAAGTCAAGCTATTTATTGGGTTAACACTAGGATGACCAGCTCCTTTGACATCTTTATTTACATTACGCCGTGAAGCAGCCATCTTTAATATATTCAATATTCAAGTCAGGAATAACAAGTCTGAAAAGAAATTCACAAATATTAGTATACTTCATACTGAAAGAAAGTGATTATATATATATATATATATATATATATATATATATATATATATATATATATTAATTATGTGTGTATAGATAGATAAATAGATAGATGGGGATATAAACACAAGTATTATTGCTTGTGAGATGTTTCAATGCATTCACCCTATAAATAGCCTAGGTGTCAAAAACGACACCTTGGCCATTCAAGGTAAAACCTCAAATATCAGCTATTCCACTGAATATTTTTTAAAGAATTAAGTCTGTTAAGCATCTTTGCTAAAATTCAATAATTGTCCATAAGCCTCAGCATCGAACCAAATCTAGTTATTCCATTGTAATTTGTTGAAATTTTGAAGGTGTCGAAAACGACACCTCGGCCATCCTAGTGTTAATTGGATTAAAACATTGGATTAAAACACAAGTTTAATGTTATTGTGTAACAAAAATGTATGTGTAAATTTTTGTTCATGTCTTGTGGCTCTCAAACATCTGAAATTTATCGTAGTGGCTCTTATATTAAGCAAGTTTGGCCACCCCTGGTTTTGAGTATTAAAACAGCTAAGGAAAGTAATCACTCATAAATTTACTAATTTAAGTTGATTTACCTCCCTTCCCACTACACATTAGATGGAAAATATATACAGGTATACCTCACCCTACGTTATTGATTCCAGAGATCACAACTTTGATCAAAAAATGACTTAAGTCAAAATAATCACAATATAAACTACAAATATGCACTACCCATTGCCTATTACAGTATGTATGACATGTATATACAGTATTCTGAATAAAATAATTTCCACTCTATCTTCCAGCGATATAGCCTTACGCTTAGCATTAGCACTTGCACTGGGACTTTTCTTCAGAGCCATGGAAAAAATGTATTCTAAATCATGATTGAAATGTAATTGAAAGAACATCAACTGCAGAGCACAGATGTAAACAAGTCTGAATTCAAAACTGGTGTTGGAGTGGAAGATAACACACAGGTGCTACCTGTCGGCAGGAATCTGAAATCAGAGCATCTGCTGAACGTTCTTTATTATACTAATTGTTTTGTTTTTGATGATTCTATGATTTTATATATATATATATATATATGTATGTGTGTCTTTGTGTATGTAATGTGTGACGTCATTTGTTTACATTTGGATACGCATCGAGCAAATATGAATGTATGAGAGAAAATCATGGAGAATTGTAGTTTAAAAACAGTAAAATCAACCTTGCTAACTGAAATGCTCCTCAATCGGTAAAGCACGTCTGGCTATATGACGAATCCATATAGGAGACAGGTTTGATTCCTGTCGGAGGACGCATATTTTCTATAAAAATTTCTCGGACATTCAGTCATAGAATGGAACTTTGGTTGTGCATGCATGTAGTAATTTTTTGTGGATAAATGGTTTGATGGATGACTGTATGATAGAATTCTAGTAGAGGAAATCCATTTGGGTTGTGCTTCTCCAATTATTACATGTCCCATGTAGAAAACATGATATTTAAACAGGTCTGTAAACCTAATGTATATATGTCTGCTACATAGACAATATTTTTATTTTTGCAAATAACACGAAAGAAATAGATACTCTCAAGACTACATCTGAAAAAAAAACCTGTCCTTAACTTTACCTATGACCTTAGAAAAAAAAAAACTCCCATTTTGAGATATTCTTGTAGAATACAGTAACAACACTTTACCACCTCATTGTATAAAAAAAAACACTAGCAGAAACTCTTGTCACCTTAATTTTCTGAGTGAATGCCCACTCAGGTACAAAATAGCAGAAGAGCATGTTAATATTCAACCTCTTGCCTACTCTTCCTTAACTCAATGATGCAAAACAGACACTAGTTAATAATGGCTTTCCTAACAACCTTATAGACCACCAAATTAGACTATTTCTTTCCAAAGTAAATAACACTGATAGTGAACACTCAGTCAAAAATAACGTAAATATTTTCTACAAAAACCAAATGCACGTCAAATACAAGCAAGATGAATCTTCACTTAGAAATATCATAAAGAAATACATTACCCGAATTGACCTGGACAAAAAACAAATCAAATTATCTATTACAAAAAATTTAAAACAGCTAATCTTATCCTCAAAAATAACAACACACAAGCAAAATCAAAATTACAACAAACGAACATTATTTATAAGTTCAAATGCTCCTTAAGGAACTGTTCCTGATCAAACCGAATTCATAATTACATTGGTCACATGACTACATGCCTATCCCGACGATTTACATTGCACCTGTCCAGCCACAAAAAAAAAAAAATTAAAAATAATGGAAGCCTTAATAAAATTTGAAAAAGCCAACACTCAGTAATATTAACTATGAATATGGTCACAATGAGCTAATTGTGTTTGGAAAATAAAACATCCCTATAGCTCTAGAAACATGCATACAATCCATACACCCAATTAAAAAGCAAAAATAAAATCATCCTTGATAATGGCTATAAGGATAACTGAAAATGCTTGGAATTATAGAAAATTTGGACAGTTTCTACACACTCTGTAACCAAAAAAGAAAACACTTGTTCAAACGCAAGAAAAATTAAATAAAAAGCTCAATTGCAGTACCTTTGCCTGTCGTCTTTAACAAAATATATATATATATATATATAAAATCTTTAAACATATATTGTTAAATATAACAGGCAATGTATGTCTATTATGTTGGATCATGAGCCATTCTAATGTTCGTATGTTTGCTTTAATTTCAGGTGAAAATAAATACAAAAATTGTCCAACATTTGGATATTTTTTTTTTAATTTTTTTTTATTAAGTTCTTGATTTAAGCTTTTGGCTCCCATGAGCCATCTTCAGAGTGGTTATACAGACATTTTAACAAAGATATTCACCATCAAAGATAATATTTTTGCTATGTTGACATAGGAGATTGCTATGTGATGATAACAGTTGTGGAATAACAGACGCAATTCATAAGTTCAAGATGCGGTTCTATGATGTCATGCCATGCGTGAGGCTGAAATATTAACAACAGAACTATATGTCTAGATGCAATATAATGTGTTTTGACTAGTTTGAAATATAATTTTGTTGAGTGTGGGTTCCTTTGTTTTAATGTACATAGCCTCTAATATCTGAAGGTTCTTTTTACTGTGTGTATGCGTGAGTATTATTGTGAGTATATATCTTTAAGTCTGCTACAATACACTAGAAGTGTGTGTGTGTTTCTTTACTCTTACATGGCAAAAATAGAATTATGAATTTTCATGGTATGGTCCAGTTTCTAATCCTTGGACTCCTTTTTCATATAAATCTAAAAATTTGTTTTTTAAATTTATGAAAATGTATGTCATTTATTTTTATCTTGTTTCAGTTCTTCGTAAAGCTAGCTATTTGTATAAAATGTGTCCACTTGTGAATTTTGAAACGAAAAAATCGTCATTCAAGAAGTATGAAGCATCGTTAGTGAGCTACTGCCATTCGGTAAGTAAAATTAATTCACATAGATTTTTCTGAGTATTTAAATCCCTCAATTATCCTGAGTTAATGAATTAGCTGGTTAATGGCTTACCCCAAGTAATTAACACCTGTAATGGATTATGCTGAGTAATTAAGCCTTCCCCATCTTGGCTTCACTTGCTTTCTCACCATCGTAATGTAGCTTCCTATGTGATTTCTATAAATGTTCTAACAAACTTTCCTCTTTGGTACCATGACTTTACAAATTCTACTTGACTGATAATCGTAGATGTGTGAAACTTAGCTAGTGATGTGAAGTTTGTCTCTCTCTTTTTGCTCTCATATATATATATATATATATATATATATATATATATATAACACTGGATTATATATCTTACTGTTCTTTCTTCACTCATTTTAAATCCAATCGAGAATCTGTGGTCAATCTGCAAGGAACGACTTCGTGGAATGGACATACGAAGTACTAACTTGTGCTCTGGGTCATGTTTCATTGTAAAAATACAAGAAAGTAAATAATGGAATTCATTTTGTTTCAAGTAAATATGCACAAGGGTGTGTGTGTGTGTGTGTTTTCAAATTAATAAATAATGCAGCTTAATATTGTACAATAGCCATTCAAAGAATAAATCAATAAAATTAATGTAATTAATGGCAAATTCACTTCACTAAAAGATTAAGAAAGCATTAACTTGCTGACCACTCGCTGAGCGACACAATCCTTGTTTTTATTAATTGTACAATGGATTAAATTATTGGACCAATAATCCATGTCATGTCAATGGAAAAAAGCACTTACAATAATAGAAATTTTGAATTACTATCTTACTACAATATTCAAAAATCTAGTGTAGCATTTCTGTATGTTCACAAATATTCTTAACTGTTAATAAGAGCACACTGTTTTAATAAAACATCTTTTGACAAGTATCAGCTTCATTTTCATCTTGGAATTTTTACCGGAAATTACCTGAAATTGAGAAAAAAAATAACATCAATGCCTGAAGATGGCGAATGTTTTTACCAAAAGTGCTTGCAAGCCATATGAACCGAACATGTAATCCATTGTACAATTAAGAAAAATAAGGAACACGTTGTTCAGCGAGTGATCATTAAGTTAATGCCTTCTTAATCTGTTAGCGAAATGAATTCGCCATTAATTACATTAGCTTTATTGATTTACTCTTTGAGTGACTATTTTATGATATATGAGAGAGAGAGAGAGAGAGAGAGAGCAGCAGCAGCAAATAAGCTAGTTATAAACATTATCTTCCATAATTAATAATATTCTAATATTTAAAATACCACACTGGTAAAGCTTTCCAGCACATTCATGCAGAATTACAATTTTTGTACACTTCCTTGGAGTAACATCCATCACGAACAATGGCCATAGGACAACTAATTGACAGTCAAGACAATAGTGTTTGGGTGTGATGAAAATCTGATGCAACCACAGATGGAGCAATATTATTCAAGACCAAATAAATTTCATCATACACCCCAAAAATAACTGTACACCACTGCAAATGACCTAAACCAGGTAAAAAAAAAAAAAAAAAAGCAAAAAACCCCCAACAAAACTACTAATAAGTGCAGACATGATATAAACAAATATTTACTATGCCATTTAAGCATTTATTTATATATATATATATATATATATATATATATATATATATATATATATATTTTGAGATGAGGTATTATGTACAGTATTTACATTAGTCGGACTATTGTCCTCATCTTTTGACGCCATATTTGTCACAACGTTTTCGCCGTTATGCGCTCCGCCTTCTTCAGGTGGTTGGAATTTCAAACTGAACCCTTTATTTCAATCACTGGGGTAGACTGTTCTAGTTCCACGTGCCATGTTTGATGGATGTCAGTTATCAGTTATCTCCTGCTAATTTTCCCTCTGAAAGTTCTCCACTGCCATAACCAGGTATTGAACTCACCTTCTTTGGGTCTGTCACTGGATCTAACCAACGCCTTTATCCACTGTGCCATGTGTCTGTCTGCGCCTAAATATTATTGGTCCTCCTGACCTGTCATCTTGGCTTCAATCCCCCTCCCACCACCATAGCTTCCCTGTGCGTTTTCTATAAATACTTTCATGGTAATTGTTCAGATGAGCTTTAAGTGTCATAGTAGAGTGGCAGTTAAGTCTCGTAATTTAACTGTTAATATTGCTGGATGTTATCATAATTTCCATAAAGTTTCTAATATATTTCTATACAGTTTCTTCTCTCACATTTCTTGGTTAGGGAACTCTCTTCAGTCTGCGTGTCAACTACAATCTCCAAAAATTTAAATGCAATGTCGGATGTCATCTTGAATCTAATTCATTGTCCACTCTGTTTCTTTCGCTCTTAGTAATCCCTTGCATCTTAGTGGCTTTCTCTCCTTTCTTTCATTGAAATAATTCTGTAAAAAAAAAAAAAAAGTATGTACTGTCTTTTGAGCCACCAACACTAGTTTGGCTATGTCCAGAAGATGGACAATTTATGAATTCCAAAGCACTATTAGCTATGCAGAATTTTTGAACATGAAGAGAAAACTTGTCTACCCACAACTTCAATTTAAGTAAACAAGATGTCATATTGTTTAATCTCAACCTTGCTATGTCTTCTCCCCCCCCTCCTCATGCTAGTGTTCAATCCCCAATAGGCTGTTGACACATTGTGATACTATGGCTACTGACATAGAAGAGGAAAAATGTTTTTTCTGGATTTCAAGTTTTTTCATTTTGTGGCTAGCAGAGTTTTTTTTTATTATTATTATTATTTTTTATTATTATTATTTATTATTATTTTTTTATTATTTTATTACTATTTTTTAATTTTTATTATTTTTATTTTTTTTTTTTATAAGTTTTCTCTTCTAAGCAGCATCCATTTTGACTGAAGGGAAGCTGGGTAGTAAAGGGCGTGTGAATGTGAATGTTTGGTGGTCATGTGGCAACAGAACCAGAAATAGGGTGTGTACAGGTGTTGGTCTATCTTAACAGTCATGCTTGAGTTTGGAGTTTGTCTGTCTTGAGTATGATGATAAACTACAACTGGCAGCAAGAACTCTGATTGGGAGGTTTTGAGGAGCGTAGAGCCACCTCTTAATTGCTGTTGTTACCAGGTCCACTCTGACACGGGATGGTTACCCAACTGGTGGTCAAAACATTATGAAAGTATAAAAGATTTTATAGTAAAAATACCAGCAATACATTTTCATAGTAAAAAAAAAAAAAATACCAGAAATCATTTTTTGTCAAAAAAATTACTAATGCTCCCCCAAAAATTAAATTTTGGCATTAAAATGGAGTCAGTATGTTGTTAAACAAATAAATCCAATCAAAGCTCACAAGAAAATTAAATTTTATTATTAAATAACCCATAAGGAGTTGATGTGCTGTTAAACCAAATAAATCAAAGTTCTGAAGAAAATTAAATTTCGGCATTAAATGATCCATAAGGACTTGATATGCCACTAAACCAAAAGACAGTTTGGGGTTGGTTCTGGTCCACCCTTGGTGGGAGATGGATTGGCTGTTGTGTGGTTTCAATGCTACTCATCTGTAATGTCAACCACACGTTTGGTTATCTAGATGGGCATGGAATTGAAGAGCTCTATGAGATCCAAGATAGAAGTTGTTCCAAGTGTCACCTACCTATCCAGGCAGGTGATTGGGCGAAAGTCCTGAATGAAACATCTACATATGATATGAAAAACAGGGTTTTGTGTTTTTACTTCTTGATGTGTCATTTGGTTTTCGTCTTGTTATTGTGAACATGCAACAGTCCCTTGCCCAGGTTTTGGTGCACACCAACGTTGGGGATTTGGTATGTTGCATTGTATATTTTCAATATGTGATCACCTTGGCTCATCACAGTGAGCCTAAGAGAACAAAGAGGAAATATAAACTGTGAGAAGGCACTATCACTTCACCAGTATCATTGGGACAGGCTGGTACATGCAATACCTGTGGTTGTGTCTGCCGCTCACACATTGGACTTTAAAAACCTCATGAGAATCTGACATTTCAACATGGATAATCAGTTGTTTTCTGAAATAACAATACTGCCAACACCACTAGAAGTTGGTTTGTACACATTAAATTTTATGCAACTATGTCTGTTGTATTTCAGATCACCAAAAATCAGGCACTTGTTCATGCCGCAGTCTTTGATGTCATTGAAGGGTTGAATGTCTCTAATGGTAAGTGTATTCTTTATTGTTTTAGACATTGGCACTTATGTTGCATATGAAGCTTAATTGATATGCAAGTCCCACAGTCAAAGCACACCAGTTTCAGACCAGATAGAATAATGAAACTGGTATCAAAATGAAGGAAATTTTTTTTACCCATAAATATAGCATACTTAAAAAACATATTTTTATAATTTCTGTATACATATATAAAGACAATTACTAAGTGTCTTTTATATTTGCCTTTGTAATTGAATAAATTCTTCATATCTTTTTCCAGCTGATCCGGAAGCTGTGTATTTTGCCATTATTCAGAAAGCAGGTAAGAACAAATCATTAACTGGCTAGTATTTGTTTTAGTGGGTTTTTTTTTCTCACAGCTACACAGGCTAGCTGTCTACAGCCATGAGTAAAGTGCATGGTTCAGAAAGAAAAAGTCACATAAAAAGGCTTGAACTCAAACCCCTTTTGTACTGCAGGAAACCTGTGAGGAAGTGTTTGAAAGATGTATTATTAATTGAGCTATGAGAACTTTATGGCTGGCAGATGTACTTTTGAAGTTCAGGTGGAGACATTGGGGTGAATTTTGGAAGGAGCAGGGAAACCCCATCCTGGAAAGAAATCAAGGGCTAGACCCATTCTCCTGCTCAAAAGACTGGTTCACACAACCTCTCCAGTAGAGGCTTGTTCCTTGTTTCTACTTCCTTATTTGAGTTCTGAAGTTTTGTTTGTTATTTTTTTGTTTTATTTTTTTCCTAAATATTGTCTATCGTCCAGTTCATGCTCCTCCTGGTCTTTTTTACAGGATTAGAGGTTTATCCCTTGTTTCCTGTATACGATTGGCTTTCCGTTTCCTTCTAAAGTCTACTTCAACTCTATACATTTAACATAGTCAATAGGTTCGCCTATCATCTGGTTCACACTTCTCCTGGTCTTTTTAACAAGAGTAGAGGTTTATCTCTTGTTTCCTGTTTAAGATTGGGTTTCTGGTTCTTTTGAAAGTTTTTTTCATTCTCTTCTAATCCCAGTAGTGAAATCGATTAAAAAAAAAAATTAATTATGGTCATATTGACCTTGTGGCATTGTGCTATTTCATCTGGTAGTTTTATTATGTAGCTAGATACTTGATACATAGTAATATTTCAAGATATCAGGATAGTGGCATGTCATCCCACAGAAAAAAAAACAAGACCTGTCAAAGGGTGGTTGAGCTTCTTAGAGGAACCAATAAGCAATGTGTGTGTGTCAAGAATTAACGTTGACAGTATGTCTAGAAAACCAGTAATCAAAATGGCTACAATTGAAAGGAAAGAGGAAAAATAGAAAAAAAGCTTGAATAAGTGTAACGTGAAAAAAAAAATGATGAAAAGTACAAATAACCACAGCATTCTACTCATACATGCTAACAAGTGCAAGCACATTCATGCTCACACTATAAAAAAAACAAACAAAAAAAAACTTGCACCAATAAAAAGTGCATATAGAAAAGAAATCAAGAAGTATAAGCAATCAGTTGTTGAT